CACCCACCCTCCCCACCCCCATCTTCCGTCTGATTTCCTTTTGACAGGTGCACCCTGAGAATGCGATTCCGGAAGATGAGGACAAGGAGATGGCTCTGCAGTCATACTGGGGGAGGTGATGGTGCCTTCACAGATTTCAGTGGTGAAGGCAGAAGAATGGGCCAATGATTTGGCTGCCTGAAGTGAGAGAAGGGCAAGAATCAAGTGTGCTCCCAAGGTTTGGGGCCCTAAGCCCTGGAAAAATGGAGCAGCCATTGCCCAAAACTAAAGGACAGAGAGAGGAGCAAGTTTGGGAGAAAGAGAGCAGGGAAATCAGGAGTATGGTTTGAGTGTATGTTATGGACTGAATGTGTACATCTGAGTAAAAATTTATGAAACAAAAAGTGATACAGTGGACTGAATATTTGTTTAACCCAAAACTCATATGTTGAAATCCTAACCCCCACTGTGATGGTATTAGGATGTGAGCCCGCATGACTGGGATTCATGCTCTTATAAAAGGGACTCCAGAGAGCTCACTCATCCCTTCCCCCATGTGAGGACACAGCCAGAAGTTGGCCATCTGCAACCTGACCATGCCAGCACCCTGATCTTGGACTGGCAGCCCCCAGAACTCTGAGAAATGACTTTCTGCTGTTGATAAGCCACCCAGTCTGTCGACATGGTCATAAAGGGTGTCCCAAAATTCATGCAAGATTTGAATTTTACGCCATTTGTGCCATAAAGTGTTGCCAATGGGAAAAAAACATAGCGTGACAGCTGATAGTTCAGGGTTATTAAAAATGGAGTGCTACATGAAAGAACAACACGTTTTCATTGTTGAGCAATATTTTAAAAATAATGAAGGTTTGGCAGCTACGTTTGCAATTTTCGTGCAAAATGTGGTCGGAATAGTGATTTAACTTCATCAACTGTGAAGAGATTAATAAAAAAGTTTAGGGAGACTGGATCAATTAGTGATCTTAAACACTCTGGCAGTCCTTCAACAACTCGTTCAACACGAAACATCGAAGCAGTTCGTGAGTGTTGCTGAGAGTCCAGGGACATCAATTCGGCACCGTGGTCAAAAACTGGACATTTCGCCAAAACCGGTTTGGCTCTGTGGATAGAGCATCGGCTTGCGGACTGAAAGGTCCCAGCTTCGATTCTGGTCAGGGGCATGTGCCTGGGTTGCGGGCACATCTCCGGTGGGGGATGTGCGGGAGGCAGCTGATCGATGTTTCTAACTCTCTATCTCTCTCCCTTCCTCTCTGTAAAAAATCAATAAAATATATTTTTTAAAAAAACTGGACATTTCAAGAAGCTCTCAGAGGCCATTTACCCGATATGCTATTCCATACATAACCCTATACTGTGTACTTTATGAATCAATAAAAAATTTATAATTTTTAATTATAAACCTGTGTTTTCTATCAAAATTACTTCTTGCGTGAATTTTGGGACACCCTTTAGCAGCCCAAATGGACTGAGACAGCCTGTGAAGTGTGAGGTGCCCACCTGAAGGTGCCCAGTCAGCTGTTGGATACACCTGGAGGCGAATTTGGGCTTTATCCACGCAGTGGTTCTCAACCTTCTGGCCCTTTAAATACAGTTCCTCATGTTGTGACCCAAGCATAAAATCATTTTCGTTGCTACTTCATAACTGTAATGTTGCTACTGTCATGAATCGTAATGTAAATATCTGATATGCAGGATGGTCTTAGGCGACCCCTGTGAAAGGGCCGTTCGACCACCAAAGGGGTCGCGACCCACAGGTTGAGAACTGCTTAACAGAGCGTATTGGTTTCCTAGGGCTGCTGAAACAAATGACCACACACTGGGCGGCTTAACACCACTGGAATTTATTTTCTCACAGTTCTGGAGGCCCGAAGTCTGAAGTCAAGGTGTTGGCAGAGGCATGCTCCCTCCAAAGGCCCGAGGGGAGAGTCTGTTCCTGGGCCCTCCTGCCTCTGGTGGTTCCTGGGCCTGTGGCTGCATCCCTCCAGACGCTGCCTCCATCCTCACAGGGCCTGCTCCTCTTTCTATGTCTCCTCTTCTGTCTGTGCCAAATCTCTTTCTGTCTTTCTCCTATGAGGACACTTGTCATTAGATTGGCAGCCCATCTGGTTAATCCAAGATGATCGCATCTCGAGTCTTTTTTTTTTTTTCAATCCTCACCCGAGGATATTTTTCCATTGATTTTTAGAGAGAATGGAAGGGAGGGGGAGAGACAGAGAGAGAGAAACATCGATGTGAGAGAGACACATCCAGTGGTTGCCTCCTGCACGCACCCCAACCAGGGCTGGGGATCAAGCCTGGAACGGAGGTACATGCCCTTGACAGGCCATCAAACCCAGGACCCTTCAATCCAAGGGCTGACGTTCTATCCAACGTTAAGCCAAACCGGCTAGGGCACAAGATTCTTCTTTTAAGCAAATGGATAATTTCTTTTTGGAGAAAATAATTAAAACTAAGGTTTCTCCAATAAAGGGGAGACATAACAATAGGAGATCATACCATGGTTACATGTTAATTACCACATTCTATACAATGTGGATGTGCTTAACATGTGTTCGTTGACAAATATGAACTTTTTATAATCACAGACCTCTTGCCCTAGCCAGTTTGGCTCAGTGGATAGAGCGTTGGCCTGAGGACTGAAAGGTCCTGTGTTCAATTCCCGTCAAGGGCACATCAACATTGGTTGTCTGCCTCTTGCCAGCCCCCACTGGGGATGGAGCCTGCAACACAAGCATGTGCCCTGACCGGGAATCAAACTGGTGACCTCCTGGTGCATAGGTCAATGCTCAACCCCTGAGCCATACCAGCTGGGCTTCACGGCGCGTTGGCCTGAGGACTGAAAGGTCCTGTGTTCAATTCCCGTCAAGGGCACATCAACATTGGTTGTCTGCCTCTTGCCAGCCCCCACTGGGGATGGAGCCTGCAACACAAGCATGTGCCCTGACCGGGAATCAAACTGGTGACCTCCTGGTGCATAGGTCAATGCTCAACCACTGAGCCATACCAGCTGGGCTTCACTGTAACCTATATTTTGTGATGAGGGGACACACTTCAACCCACAACTCCTTGTCTAATGAAATCTATTCTTACATAACCAAGTATCATTTCCCAACACTGCCAAGCTCCCAATGAATGGCTGCTCTGTGTGTTCCAACGAAGGACTCCAGAGAGAGTAACCAATTAGCACATTTGTTGCAGTTGCACATTGAGGCCAAGAAGTATTTAGCAATATTAAATAATGTACTCTTAAATTTGCATATATATAAGCCCTAATGTAATAGGTGTGAAATGTAATACCAATTCATATATATATGCTTTTATTGATTTCAGAGAGGGAGAGGGACAGAGATAGAACATCAGTGATGAGAGAGAATCATTGATCTGTTGCCTCCTGCATGCTCTGTACTGGGGATTGAGCCTACAACCGCGCCCCCCCTCCCCCCCCCCACTGGGTATCAAGCCCACAACCAGGGCATGTGTCCTTGACTGGGAATCAAATTGTGACCTCCTGGTTCATAGGTAGATGCTCACTCAACCACTGAGCCACGTAGTCAGGCTATAATAACACTTCTTTACAGTGGCCACTAGAGGGATACTAGAATTGCAAATTGTTTCATTTTCACAAAAGCATTCAATAGGATTTATTTAACATTTCGGCTCTCAATAGTTTTATTTATAAACTAGAGGCCCGGTGCATGAAATTCATGCACGGAGGGGGGGGGTGTCCCTCAACCTGGCCTGCACCCTCTCCAATCTAGGACCCCTCGGGGGATGTCTGACTGCCGGTTTAAACCAGCAGTTGTACATCCCTCTCACAATTGGTTCCTCCCTGGCCAGCTGCACCTGGGGTGGCTCGAAGGGTGTCTGCGGTCACTGCAGCCCAGCAGTAAGCCGGATTCTTTGCCTGCCAGCCTGATCACCCCCTAACCTCTCCCCTACTGGCCCAATTGCCCCCAACTGCCCTCCCCTGCCGGCCTGCACATGGCCATCTTGTGGAGGCCATCTTGTGACGACATCGTGCGAGGGCCACCTAGGCTTTTATTAGTATAGACTAATGGCCCAGTGCACGGGTTTGTGCACATTAAAAGGAAATTAATTAGAAGGTGGCTGGCAGGGTGTGACTGAGCAAGATGGCCCAGACATGCCCTGGAGCCAGCCTCCCTTGGTTCCTCCCTGGCCAGCTGCACCTGGGGTGGCTCGAAGGGTGTCTGCGGTGTTACAGGTTGTGGAATGCAAATGCAAGTGTGCAGTAAACCACATTCAGGCGAAGAGTGCCCCAGTAACAACATAACCATGACCAAAGGTAGAACCACATGGCCCCGTGAGGAATCGGGCTCCCTCCTCTCTGGTTCTGGGATGCGTCACCTGAGAACCGCTGCTGCCAACTCACCCCAGTTCGGCAGCTCCTGCATTGAGTGTCTGCCGCCTGGTGGTCAGTGTTCATCATAGGTACTGGCTGGTCAGATGGTCGGACTGTTGCTTAGCCTTTTATAGTTTAGATAACTTTATTTGCATATTTAAATTAAATTCACTAAAATATTTTTTGGAATAATTTTATTTAAACTTTTGATATTCACTAAATATATCATTGATACTGTGCAAGGCTTTTTAAAACAAATTCGAATGTTTTTTGTGAAAAACCATGTTTTTAAAAAATATGATTATAATATGAAAAAAAATTTTTCATTTGTGCTGTAGCCTGGGAGATCAGGGGCGCCCAGTGAGGGTAGGGTAAGGCCCCGGACCCACATCGTCTCCCCTCCAGTTCCCCTCCCAAGTGGATTTCTATCCAGAGGCAAAAAAAACCTACACACCCGCATTCATTGGCAGTCACAAGATCCCGAGAAGGGGCGCGCCGCGCCTGTAATGTCTCCGAATGGCCGCCAGGTGACGCCAGAAATACCGGAAGTCCTCCAGACTCATTCGTCCCTATGATCCCCGTGACAGCCAGCGCAACCCGGAAGCTGAGACTAGCGAGGGGGCAGTGCTTCCGGATTGGAACGAGGTGACCTGACCGCCACAGGAATCTGTGGCGGCTGCAGCCATGGGAGCGCACCTGGCCAGGCGCTACCTGGGCGATTCCTCAGGGGAGCCAGACCCCCTGCGGATGCCCACCTTTCCGCCCGACTACGGCTTCCCCGGGCGCAAGGAGCGCGGTGAGATCCAATGCGCAGGCGCGGCCAACGAGAGTGGGGTGCGGACGCCTTAAGGCCGGGGTCCGCAGGGCTGGGCCCAGCACTGACCCGGCCGGGGGCAGTGCGGAGGGCAGGCGTGACCCTGCCCGAGTGTGGAGGCATTCAGGGCGGAGGGCACGGCTCGAGGAAAAGCCCGGGGGAAGGTGGCGATAGCGGCCAACCAGGCGCTGGGAGCTGGGCTTTGTCCTGGAGTCCGCGCGGACCCAGGGGAGGGCTCGTTGCGAAGGGCCGTGATCATTGTCCCGAAGACACTCCTGTTCTTAGGTATGCGCCAGGAGACACACGGGACTCACGCCATGCATTCTGTCGTGCACGTTGCCTTTTTTAAAGTATGTTTTTATTGATTTGAGAGAAAGAGAGAGAAACATCAATGGGCTGCCTCCTGCACACACCGGGGATGAAGCCCGCAACCTGGGCATGTGCCCCGACCGGGAATCCAGCCCGGCGGCCTCTAGGTGCATGGGACGACGCTCAACCAACTGAGCCGCACCGGCCAGGGCTGCACGTTGCTTTTTAATGTAGTAATATCACAAGCACATCAAACGCCAGTTCTGGGCCGGGGCCCCAAGTTGGGCACCATGGATACAGCAGGCACTGATTAAAGGGAACTCGCAGCCCGGGGGGTGAGACAGCGGCACCAGGCAGATCTGGGGGGGCTACACCTTGGAGAAGTGTGGAGACGGGCTTCCAGGAGGCAGTAGCCGGAAGCCAGACCTCAGGGTAAGGAGTAGGAGCTGACCACAGGGAGACCCGGGAGAGGGCAGAGCCAGCGTTTGTGAGCAGAGGAGACACGGTCAGATTTGCTTTGGCAAAAGGCTGTGCTGGCTGCCGGGTGGGCGAGGACTTGGAGATGGGGAGACCTCCAAGCGGGGGTGCGCAGAGAGGTCTGGGTTTGAGAGAACGTTGGGAGGTGGACTCCTCCAGTGGCCCGATTCCTGGTAGTTGGTCAGCCCTCATGAACTTGCCGTCCATGGATCCACCTGCCTTCTTACATCTGCTTTGCTCTGTTTTGCAAACACCCACAGCCTCCTGCTCCTCTCTCCTGCTTGGCTAAACCACAACCCTGGGTAAGCCCAACTCTCCTTGGCTCCTGTCCCTGTTCAGCTGAACATCATGGGAGAAGCACACTCGGCCTCTACAACTGTTCTCCCCACCAACCCCCTGGTCGATCCTTCGTGCTGCTGGCTTTCCTGATCCATCCCCTGGCCCTTCCCACGCCCCCTCCCTCCTAGATGAGTGTCCCATCCCTTCTCTCTGACTCCAGTACCTCCTTTCGGCTAGTCACTTTGAATTCTCTTATTAAGAAAATAGAAGCTGTTTCCCTGAGCGTTGGCCCACACACTGAAGGGTCTCGGGTTCGATTCCAGTCAAGTTGCAGGTTCGATCCTGGTCCTGGTCGGGCACGTGCAGGAGGCAACCAATCAGTGTGCCTCTCACATCAATGTTTTTCTCTCTCCGTCTCTCCCCCTCCCTTCCACTCTCTAAAAATCAATGGAGTCCGGCAGTGTGGCTCAGTGGTTGAATGTCCACCTGTGAACCAGGAGGTCACGGTTTGATTCCCGGTTGGAGCACGTGCCTGGGTTGCAGGCACCATTTCCAGTTGGGGGTGTGCAGGAGGCACTGATCAATGATTCTCTAATTGATGTTTCTATCTCTCCCTTCCTCTCTCTAAAAAAAATCAACAAAAACATATTTTTAAAAGAAAATAGAAACTGTCAAAAGAGCTCTCATGGCTCCCTGGCACTCCTCCTCTGCAGTTACTTCAGATGATCTGACCCTGCTCCAGAAAACCCCTTGTGACCTCCATCCCATCCTCTCACCGATCCAAGGGCACCCCTATCATTCTCCCTCTCTGTTGCAACATTGTTTTTTCCATCGACATGCAAATACAATAGTTACTTTGACTGTTTTCAATCCCCTCCTGGACCCCCTCCCCCTCCAGCTCTCTCTCCACTTCACTGCAAGAGCTCTGATCAAGTTTGTCGCACACACTATTGCTATACCCACTCTCAATTCCCAGTTCCAGCTAACCCCACTGCAGCAATGCCAGGCATAGTTGATCATTGCCTCTTCATGGAAGCCCTTCCTCACCCGGCTGCCAGGATCCCCCCACTCCTGCCCACCTCAATGTGGGCTTGTTCACTGATCCTACCCCACTCCCCGTATCGTAAATATTGGGGAGCCCCAGGGTCTCCACTCACTCCCTGGGGTTCTCTGCTAGCTCCCTAGCTTCAAATGCCTTCTGTGTCCCAGTGCTCCCAAGTTTTTACTTGCAGCTGGGCCTTGATCCTGAACCCCAGACTCATGGACCCCGCTGCCTGATTGGCATCTCTCCACAGCGTTAACAAGCATCTTGCATTCGGCAAGCCCACACTCAGACCACATGCTCAACCCAACATCCCTGGGGCATCCCGAGGCCTGTCCCCTCACCTTAAGGCCTTTGCACCTGCTGTTCCTCTCCTGGGAATGCCCTTCCCCCAGGGGTCTTCATGTCTCATTCCCTCACCTTCAGACACCACTGTCTAAAGCAGCGGTTCTCAACCTGTGGGTCGCGGCCCCTTTGGCGGTCGAACGACCCTTTCACAGGGGTCGCCTAAGACCATCCTGCATATCAGATATTTACATGACGATTCATAACAGTCGCAACATTACCGTTATGAAGTAGCAACGAAAATAATTTTATGGTTGGGTCACATGAGGAACTGTATTTAAAGGACCAGAAGGTTGAGAACCACTGTTCTGAAGGCTCCCTTCACTAAAATTGTGACCCACCTCCAACACTGCCACTCTCTCCCTTGCTTTATTTTCCAATGCTTAGCATTCTGGACATTCAGTGACATTGGCTCCACCTGTTTGTACTGTGTCTCCCTCCAAGAGCAGGATCCCTAACAGTTACTCCATAAATCCTAACTGCTGGCTGGTGATGCCAGGTGCAGGTAGCAGTCACATTGCCATGGAAACCAGCAGGGGGGCTACAGGTGGACTATGGGCCTGCGCTCAGACAAGGTGAGGGAGGGGGTACCGAGTTGGGGCTTAACGGTCTATCGGGTGGTGACGGAAGCCGTGCATTGAAAGGACCAAATGCCCTCAGCAAGAACCTCAGGAAGTCAAAGCCACAGAGAGGGGAGAGCCAGGGGAAGAGAATGTTCCAGAAAGCAGCTAAGGAAGGGCAGTGTCCTGGGGTCCCAGTTGCCCTTGTGAGAGCCTTGTGTGGGCAGGGCTGTGCGGGGTGTGGAAGCCAGGGGTTCCCTGCAGGGGCAGGAGGTGAGGACCAGGGCCTGAGGGAGGCAGAGGCACGGGGTTCGGAAGCAGAGGGAAGAGATGCCAGTGGGGGAGATTGCAGGGAGCTGGGAGGTTGCCGGCATGGAGTGTGCACCCAGACTTCTAAGGGCCCCCAACAGCCCCCTGAAGGTTGACTTGGTCCCAGGTCAGATTTGCCAGGTGGATGGGGCGCAGCCCAGTGGCTGGTTCAGCCTCACTGAAGGGGGCACTGAGCACCTACATTCGTTCCTTCACACTCACTCGGTTGACTTAGGAGTGGGGACTGTTGTCCACTCCTGAGGGGAAGAAACTGAATTTCCGAGAGGCCACTCTGGTGAGAGGGCACAGCTGGGATCCAGGTCACCCAGCCCCCACACTGGGTTATGCCCGGCAGAGGGGAGCGCTGGGAGAAAGTGGGTTCTGCAGGGCGGGACTGTCGGGGAGATGAGGATCCATGTGGATGCTGAGGTGCTTGGTGCTTGGGGAGACAGGGACTCGCCCCTTGCCTGGGCCTCGGTGTCCAGGTTGCCTTTGAACAAATGGGAAAAGGACACCCCATCTGCCTCCATCAGAGGACGCCAGTCACCTGCTGCCACACAGCTGACCTGTGGGGGACGGGTCTGAGCTGTGACTCCTGGTTGCATGTGGGCGGCTGGGTCTCCCTGGACTCGGGGCATCATGGGAACCTCCAGAAGTTAGGGGCCCAAAAGCCCACCCTGGCTGAGTCCCTCCCACCCCTCCCCACAGAGATGGTGGCCACGCAGCAGCAGATGAATGATGCACAGCTGGTGCTCCAGCAGCGAGACTACTGCGCTCACTACCTTATCCGGCTGCTCAAGTGCAAGCGCGACAGCTTCCCCAACTTCCTGGCCTGCAAACACGAGCAGCACGACTGGGACTTTTGGGTGGATAACCCGAAACAGTTTCCCAAGTGACAGCTAGGTTTGCAGTCCTGGCAGCACTTTGGGAGGGTCCCAATAGCCCCCATCCTCACCCATCCTTGGTACTGTCACTCTAGAACAGGGGTGGGTAAACTTTTTGACTCGAGGGCCACAATGGGTTCTTAAACTGGACCGGAGGGCCGGAACAAAAGCATGGATGGAGTGTTTGTGTGAACTAATATAAAATCAAAGTAAAAAACATTAC